AAACAAACTGAGGGTTCTAGAGGGGAGGGGGTGGGGGGATGGGTAAGCCTAGTGATGGGTATTCAAGAGGGCACATTCTGCATGGAGCACTGGGTGTTATGCACAAACAATGAATCATGGAACCTAAGAAAGGCAAGTGTGAGAAATGTTTGCAAAGCCAACTGATGACTGGCAGATATTTTTTATCAAGACAAATAGTTAATTCATTGTGAAGGAAAATGTGGAATCACTTATCAGCTGTTGGAACTGTTTAATAATAGCACCATGTGACATTAATTGCTATTCCAAATACCGTGTGGCGTGGATGCAGAAAAGGTCAGCCGTCAAACAGAGCCCGGTGGCGAACTGCTAACAGGTCACCAACCTGATGCCCTTCCTTCTGGGCATGCAGCTATTTCCTGACCCCTTTGTGCTTAGAGGTGACCACGGGACTGACTTCCGGCCAGGAGAATGTGCATAGAAGAGATGTATGGCTCTTTCAGGCCTGACCCTTACAGGCCTCACGCCTGCCAGGCTCCATTTTTCTTCTGCTGACTGACTGCGGACTCCAAGGCCGAAGAGGTAGAAGAGGCGACAAGATGCAAAGAACCGTTGCTGTTCAGAGGAGAGCCACCTGACCAAGGACACCCACACTGGACTGTGACGGGACCAGGAATCTGTCCTGTTCACACCCCTGTCTTGAGGCAGGTGTTCACTGTGTGTGAATGGCCAAATGCACTCTGCCTCTGAGCACAGGACTGAAATCACTTGACCAGTGACTCTGAGGGGAGGGTAACTTTTTTTCTTTTTTAAAGATTTTATTTGAGAGAGAGAGAGAGAGGTAGTGAGAGAGAGAGAGCGCGCAAGCAGGGGGGACAGGGAGAAGCAGGCTTCCTGCTGAGCAAGGAGCCTGACGCCGGGCTTGATCCCAGGACCCCGGGATCATGACCTGAGCCAAAGGCAGACGCTTCACCGACTGAGCCACCCAGGCGCCCCAGGAAGGGTAATGTTGACGAAGGGGGTCTTTCAAATTCATACCAGGCTTCTCCCAACATTCAAACTACCACTGATGGAAAAATTGTTTTCTTCCTTATGTTTAACTCAAGACATAGGTAGTGACATCTGCACTGCTCATTCCTCACTGGGGAAGAAATCTGGTGACACTCTCGTTGTTTGGGAATAGCTCAAAATTTTTAGTTCAGACTTAATCGGGTCGTTTGCAGATAAAGTCAGAAAGATCATGCACATGGCCCTAATGGAATCCTCAAACGATCTTTTCCCAAAACATTATTCCTTTACAATCCTAGGTCAAGAACAAATCTGTTAGGTCTTTTCACAGAATGTCTTCTCATTAGGCAAGATGGATCTTCTTGAAGATCAGGGAAATTGACCTCAGAAATGTAACTCCTCTTAAGGTTTCCACATGTCTGGCAGTTCTTCTGTGGGGAGGGGGGGGCGATTAGCATCTTCGATGAACTAATTCCACAGAGACAACCAGCACTGAGTTTGACCAATGAGGTTAGACCTGGTCAAATTATTTTTTTCTTTGAATAAAAGTCATTAATACTAATTAATCCAAACTGTTCAGTGCTCTCAGTTCTGATCACTTGAATCTTGCCCACCAAAAAAAAAAAAAAAATTAATGAAAAGTCCAATCAGACAAAAATGGGATGCCTCAGACCAAAATGACATTAAATGTTTTTTTATTGAACAAAAAGAGATAAAACATGGAAGTTGAAATCACTGAGCAAAAGCAGCTTCCCAGGTGAGGCTGCTATACTTTGTGCTAAATAACCTTATGAATTGAGAGTATACAGAACACATATAATATGCAAGTTACCTCAACAGCAAAGGAGAAGGTGTAGATTACAGCTTCGGAAGGAAAAATTTGGTCAAGTGACAAATTTAGTTGCTCAAAATTTCTAGCCCTTATCCACCTAAATTCAGTAGGATTCTCCATGTGTGCATTCAGTATGTGCATACTGAATACCCATTTTAACGGAAGCTGTTTTTGGTAGAAATTTAAAAAGATCTTTCATGTTTATTTGACGTGCCATTCAATTTTTACAATTTTATATTTGCTATATGTATGTGTGTGTGTATTTATACACACTTCAGAAACCCCAAACCCTTGTTTCTAAGTAGAGGGGTCATGCTGTTTCTTTTTTTTATTACTATTGGTGAGTTTCAGTTATTATTTCTCCTGTGTGTCTAAGAAACTTCATATGTTTTCAATGCACCCACACAGACCGGTGGGTTGACAGATATGTCAAAAATACTTTATGAAAAGAGGGAGGTAGCTCATGCGAGTTGGCAACCTTTTGTCTCATGCCCTGTTGGAGCCAGCTGCCTCCCTTTGACATCTCACAGTCAAAGATGAAAGGAAAACTTTTGACTTTGAGGCCTAGTTAGCACAGTTGTACATTTACTATAACCCACCATCAAGTTGGCTTATTGGGCTTTCTAATGTAAGATGACAAATACCTTACACCCAATACACAGCATCAAAAAAGTACTGAAGAAAACATTTTATAGACAATATCTTGGGTTTTTTTTTTTTGTTTTTTTTTTCGTTATGTTTTTTGTATGTTAAACATCAGCTTCAATGGGATACATTTCCAGAATGGTTTTGTTACCACTTTATAAACACTCTAAGCCAAACAAACAGCACAGAAACATCAATGTTGTCTTTTTTTCCAATATCTGTATCAATGACTGGAGGCTAACCCTAACATACACTACTAAAGGGGGTGCAAAAGAAGAGAATTCTTGACACGTTGCAAAGATAGGACTAGAGCATCTTAGTTGTAGGGGGATGATCCTAAGGTGCAGAAAGGGGGGACTCTCTAGAAGGTGATGGTGTGGTTTCTTCGGGCGGGAAAACCGTGAGGGTACAAGCTCGGATGCCACCGAGGGACTCTGGGAGATCGAACACCTTATGCCACTCATCTTTATCGGGGTCATATTTCTGCACTATCTCCACCATACAGCGATTATTCCAGGAATACCCACCGACCACGTAGATCTTATTTTCAAAGACTGCAACCCCAACATCACTCTGCCCCCTTAGCATGGCAGCAATTGGGGTCCACTGGTCAAGGATAGGTGAGTAGTATTCACAGCTTAGGACATCATCATAATCACTTGTGCCTCGGAAGTGATTGCCACCGATGACGTAGAGCCTCTCGCCCACCGTACACATGCAGTGCAGGCCTCTGACGGTGGTCATCGGCGCCTTCTGGATCCACTTGTCAGTATCAGGGTCAAAGCACATGAGCTCCTTTTGGAAAGTGTCATGAGTGATTCCTCCTAAAGCATGAACATAGGCATGACGGTAAACAGATTATTACAAAGATGCAAAAGTAAATAAAAGGCTCTCCGTCCCTAGATCATCGACGTCTAGCCACCTATTATGCCATCTTATGGCTTATCGCTGGTGTCCTTATAAATGTCTGCCCTCCAGAAGTACTTTCTCTGGGATTAAAAATCCAGAAAGTAACATTTTCAGCTCTTAGAGAACAAAAAAATGTAGCTTATGTTATCGCAAAGACTTTCTGAAGCAGAGACCCGTGGAATTTAAAAGGCTTTGCTAAATGAAAATAGATTTGGGCCACTTTTAGAGTTGGGTCTGCTGTCAATCTCGTGTATGAAGCATCATGCACTTCTTTTTCTAAAAAAAAAAAGGGAATTTATTTATTTATTTATTTGTCAGTGAGAGAGAGAGAGAGAGAGCACAAGCAGGGGGAGCAGCAGGCAGAGGGAGAGGGAGAAGCAGGCTCCCCACCGAGCAAGGAGCCCGACGCGGGACTCGATCCCGGGACCCTAGGATCAGGACGTGAGCCAAAGGCAGATGTTCAACCAACTGAGCCACCCAGGCGCCCCAGCATCACTCACTCCTACTGCTTTGGGGCAAGCATGCCCTGGCAGCTGAGTGCTGGGCTCGGGCATTTTAATTCCAGTTGCCCATTTCTGCACTTAACCACATAAGAATCTCTACTCTGGTTATCTCATCAGCATTGTGGCTATGAAGTCAAATCCATCAAAATGCTTTGAAAAGGTGACAGGATTATGCAAATGTCCAAGCCTATAAGAATATTCAGCACTGTTTGTTTTTGTAGTTTCTGTTGCGTGGGTACGGGAAAGTACTGTCATGTGCTATCAGCACGGACACTTAAAGAAGCCGAATGCTGGGGCGCTTGGGTGGCTCAGTCGTTAGGTGTCTGTCTTTGGCTCGGGTTGTGGTCCCGGGGTCCTGGGATCGAGCCCTGCGTCGGGCTCCCCGCTCCACGGGAAGCCTGCTTCTCCCTCTCCCTCTCCCCCTGCTTGTGTTCCCTCTCTTGCTGTGTCTCTGTGTCAAATAAATAAAATCTTTAAAAAAAAAAAAAAAGAAGCTGAATGCTGAATACATATGGAATCTTGTATGTGCCTCAGTTGGCTGTTGATCCACTGAGTCTGTATCATCCACAGAGTGTATTCTGAGGTCACACAGAAATCAGTCTCTAAGAGGAAAGTATCAGACTCTGTTCTGCAGATTAGCAAGAGAACTGCACAAATTTTCAGCCGTATCAATAAAAGTGCTCCTATCTGGGGACCAGTTGGAAATCAGTGTTTCCTCTCTGCTTTTTAGTTTAGTTTTTTGTTTTTTTTTGTTTTTTGTTTTTTCTGTACTCTACATAATTCTCAGGAAGCAAAACGGTGTTTTTGTTTGTTTGTTTGAGATTCAGCTCCGGTCCTACCCTGTTCTTGACTGGGGAGGTCATTTATAAAATACACATTAGCTATGCCAAAATGCCACGAGAACAATTTCATGTCATTTCTGCCCCCCCCCCCCCAGAGGATCTGGAGCTCTCATTATAATGGCTTAGCATCTACACGCGTAAAATAGGTAGAGGGTGTAAATCATTGATTAGTGGAGCATATGATTTCCTGGATGGCTCTTTCAATATAAGACGTCCTGTAGCTGCTCATAAATTTAACACCCCAAACCTGTCAATCAGCCACTCCAGGCCTTTTGCTGATCCCTCCTGATTACAGATTCATAAGGCAGCGGTGTTCAGAGACCCAGACCACCAACATCACCTTAATGCATCTGTTCTCTAATAATGTAACTGCTGCCCTGGCACCGACAGGCTCTCAGAAGGCAGAAAATGTGTCATGAGAAAAATATACGTGCATGTGGCCAACATATATATAGGTAATCAGCACAGAATTATTCATGCAAGGACACGACAGTAGAATCCCCTGATAATGCTGAGGAAAAAAGGAAACACCTATTATCGGTCGCACTAAATGAGAGCGTGAACATTATTATGCATTACGTGTGGATCAGGAGCAAGCTTATGCATGGTAGAGTTTGTATATTAAATAATGATATATTTCCTCATAGAGTTGAGCTAAATGTAAGCTCAAAATGAATTAAGGGTCGCTACAGGGACTATGAATGGGGGTCGTTGGCCTACAGGGTTCATTAGAGTATGGAGTATGAAGACCAAAAGGCAAGCTAGAGAAGCTGAAGGCTTTCCAGTTTCTTCCCAGTTATGTATTCCCAGCACGACTGGTTTGCTGCTAGTCTTATGAACTTCTAGAATACCAAAGGCATCTATACGCAAACACGCACGTACAATGTATCTTCTAAAATCACCACAAATTATATTTTGATGATCCCTTTTTCTGGATTCTTTTTCTTTTTTCTTTCTGGATTATTTTTCTAATATTGTATGGAAAGATGGTGCCATAGTTAAAAGTGTACGTATTATATTAATTGCATCTGCATTATAATGGTTTACCTGAAATATACATGACTCCTCCATACACAGTCCCAGCATGGCCATAGTGGGGTTCGCTCATTTTGGCAACGTAGGTCCACTCATTTGTTCTTGGATTGTAACACTCCACTGTGGCTGTTGTTTGACGAAAAGAACAGAAAAGAAAATAATTTATAATTTCAAATTTAGCAATGAGTTATTTTTCCCTTTAGGTAGAATAATAATATTTAAACAATGGAACCGTATCTATTACAGATATGAGATACTCTTTGGGGGTCTCTTTTTTTACTTACTGAGATTATACTACTAAGATGAACCATTAATACATTTTACATTAGACTAGAGACTTATGTAATAATCTAACACATTTCTGTCACTGCAGAAATTGCTAGGGTTTCTTTTCTTCTGGTATCTTGTTACATCTTTCTAATTTGACATTTCTCCCAATTCCTTGCTCTAAATATGTGGGAAGATGAGGGAGCTTGGGTGGCTCAGTCGGTTAAGCGTCTGCCTTCAGCTCAGGTCATGGTCCCGGGGCCCTGAGATCGAGCCCCGCATCGGGCTCCCTGCTCAGTGGGGAGTCTGCTTCTCCTTCTGCCCCTCCCCCCAGCTCGTGCTCGCTCTCTCTCTCTCACAAAAATAAACAAAATCTTTACAAAAGATAAATATGTGGGAAGATGAAAAAAATCATAAGTAAGAAGAAAAGTCAGTTCTAGGCCCCCCGTGCTGATCCACCATCTAGGAAGCAAAGGTTCATAGACAGGAAGCAAAATCTGAGGTTGAGAATGAACGTATGTATGTATGCACACCGCCTGCCATATGTGCTGGCTGCCTCTTGCTTTATTTCACATCCAGACTACACAATAGACATTGGCAATAATTTTTCCACATTTACACATTAAAGTCAGTAGTGTGTACAAATCCCAATATCATCGTAGCCAGTCACACTCCTACTGAAGGTGAGTGGCAGCATGATATGAAGGGAAGATTTTTATTGGGGCCACTTCCTTCCAGTAATAAATTTATCATCTTTAACATAAAGTATTTTGGAGAAGTGACCTCAACCTATTTAAATTATCACTCTGTTATCACCTCAAGAATAGAACAATGACAGATAGAAAACGTAATCCTTTTTAAAAGGCAGAAAGAAATAGGGCTGTTCCCAGTACTCTGGTCAAAACCACAAAGTCTAAGGGTACCTGGCGGGCTCAGTCAGAAGAGCACGTGAGTCTTGATCTTGGGGTTGTGAGTTCGAGCCCTGCGTGGGGTGTAGAAATTACTTAAATAAATAAAACTTTAAAAAAGAAACAAACAAACAAAAACCCCACACAAAGTCTAGGTAGACTTGAAAAGTTTATACTGTTTACTACAGATGCTGTCAGTTGGCAACCCGATTTCTTGTCTCCCCTCACCCTGCTTTTTTCTCAGGAACAGAACCATAACACTGCACACAGAAGTGCTGTGCTAAACTCAACATTCATATTAGCGGGTTCCCTTGAACCTGGAGTTGACCATAAGATGTAATTCTAGGCAATGAAATGGAAGCAGAAATCTACTGAGTGGGGCCATTTGATCAAGCCACTGGAATACCTAACTGATGAATCATCCCTTGAACAAAATTTCCTATTAAAAAAAATAATAACGTGAGAACAGGCAGAACCAGAGAGAAAAAATGAGAGATGCACTTTCTACTCGATTCAACAATTTCATTTCTTCGTCAAACTGACTGTGCGCAGTACTTATTTCTCACCTAACGACTCCTGTATTATACCACTTCTCATCTCCCTTTACTGATTGCCTTTTGCACTGGCTTGAGCTTTACATTTTCAGGCTCATCTCAAAGGCTTTTCCTGTTCTCATTTTGATCTACTGTCTTGTTAGTTTTGTTCATTGCTTTAGGCCTGGACCCTCACCAACTCTATTTCTTCTTCTTCTTTTTTTTCCCCCTCCCAACTCTATTTCTTCTAAATCCTTCCATTAAGTAGCCGGATCCTGCAAAATCTTTCCCCCAAATAAGAAGAGCTATTGCCACAATTCATGACAAGCTAAAACTGATTACTCCAATACTGGTGTTGGCTCTTTGTAGTCACTGGACATCTATCTTCTCCAATGTTTATTTCCATTTGCCTCTAGCATGACTTTCACTTCATTAACAAGCACAATCCTACTGAACATACATTATTATCTCTCTCTCTCTCTCCACTTACAGAGGATCTAGTATATTGATTGGTACTTGGCATCAGCAAAGTAATTAATGGTAGGGTTTTAGCTGATAAAAAAAAAAAAAAGTAGTCTAATCACACACCCTGTCAGTGAAAGGGTTTTAAAAGACTTTCCGAGATCACATTTCTGATGGCAAAGACAGGTTTTACTATAGTTCTATGCTTCCCTTAATGAAAAATTCTGCCTTGAACTTTGAAATTTCTAGAGTGTCACAGTCTCTCCTTATGTCTAATTCAATCTATTTTGATGGAGTTTCCATTAGTTTCCTCCTGTTCTTTTTGGAGTGGAGCTAGCACTTGAATAGCTATTCACTCTTTATGATTATTAAAATTTTCCCATGTAGAAAGATAATGTTGTTCTTCCGTCAGTGAATTAATTGCATTTTTTCCCCTAAGAGGCGTCATAAGAATCCATCTCTGTTTTCTCATACAGGAGTAACCTAAGTGTAAGATGGCTATTTACCATCAATAATATAATAACTATGTAAGAGTTCATCATCCCTCAACTTTTCTTCTTTGGGCAAAATAATCCATATCCTTTAGCTTTTCCTATCATTTAATATCTACTGTCAACCTCTAGACTGTCTCCATGGAGAATTGTTGTTCTTAGTAAAATCAAGAGTATTTAGTTTTAAAATAGAACACATCCGATTAAAAGTGTATACACAACATGTCCTTATTTCCCATATTCACAAGGCAGTGGGATATAGGCTCGTGCCAACAACCTTGATGGGGGGAGGGGGCAAGGGATGATGCAAGGGACAAAACAGTGGTTCCATCATAGTCTATGAGAGGTGGGAATGGTAATGAACTAATTAGGAAAGTCTAGAATAGGGTCAGGCAAATTATAGCCTGTCAGCCAAATCCAGCATGCTGCCTGCCTTTTGTATGCCCCACAAGATAAAAATATGAATGGCTTTTACCTTTTTTAAAGAGTTGGGGGAAAAAAATCAAAGGAAAAATGTTTTGTGACATATGAAAATCATATGGAATTCAAATGCTGATGTTCCTATAGAAAGCTTCATTGGAACACAGCCTCACCCGTTCGTTTATAAATTGTCTATGCTTGCTTTTGCAATACAACAGCAGAAGTGATGAGGTGTGACAAGATCCTATGGCCTACAAAGCTGAAAATATTGATTTTCTGGCCCTTTACAGAATTTCGCTGACCCTTATTCTAGAGAATCACCTTCAGTAACCTGGTTGCCTGCAATTAAATTAGAGACCCTCTCCAATTTAAGAATTACATGGAGGTTGCTTAGTTCACATAAATCATTAAAGATTCCTATTTTCTCAGGTGATTCTACTGGAGTCCGGAATTGGTCCTAAGGGATAATGTGGAACTTACTTGTTCTTTTTGAGAGTAGAAAGGGATGAAACCTGAATCACCACCGGAGCAATGATGGTTCCCACAGAGGGGCTGTGACCTCTAGAATCTTAACAGTGCCCGCTGGTGATGTGTTGCTTAATGAAGAAAACGGCAAATCCATGAAGGGATATGGAGGCATCTGATAAATTTCAGTAATTTTATTGCACACTTATTTGAAAAAAGTCTAACACCTTTTTCTATAAGTTATTTCATTCTTTGAAAGCTTGACTTATTACTATTTAACAGAAATGAAAGCTATCTGAGCTGTCATAGTTCTCTTCAGTATAGAAAACCTCAATGGAAGATCGATTTCTTAAATGACATAAGCTTGAAAGATGCCAGGAATAACTGACTTCTCTTTCACTTAACTGACAGCTACTCTAAGCTTCACGTAGTTTCCAATTGTACCCGGTGTCAAAGGAAAGCAGCATTTCTAAGGAATTATACTTCAGCAACATACCAGGCTCACAAACACATTAGTAGTATCTTTTTGATGTACTGTGGGCTTAGGTCCATCCATACACACTCCATGAAGGGATTTTAAAAGGCCAAATGCATTAAAATGATCTAAAATGTCTTTTACAAATGCTGCCACTGTCTTCTTTTCATAATTACATCTAGGAAATGGTCATTGCATATATGAAGAATAAATAATATACTGGTACTAATGAACCAAATTAAGTTTTTTTTTTTTAAGAAAAGATTTTACTTTTAAGTGGTCTCTACACCCAACGTAGGGCTCGAACTTATAACCCAGAGATCAAGAGTCACATCCTCCACCGACTGAGCCAGCCAGGGGCCTCAAACCTATTAAATTGTTAAATGACCCTCCCATCGATCCCAGTTTGCCTGCCACCCACTGCTACCCCCTTCTCTATTTACACAGGCCTATTAATATGGCAATGTAATCAGTTAAGATGGTAATGTGAAGTTACTATAACAGATGTTCTTGTGTGTGTGTAGAGGGCATTCCCATTAAAAAAAAAAAAGTTTACGGAGCAGGAGAAATGTTAAAAAACCCAGCCTCTGGCTGGAACATTCAGAAATATAAGCAAGGGTCTCTTTAGGACCTAAATCTGCTATTCTGCAAAAACCATGGGCCCAAGAAAACTGGAAAGGGCAAGTGACACATATGCAAAGAGAAACATTATTAATAAAGAGAATTCAGAAGAAGTCAACAATACAGAATGTGACACGATTGCTTTAAAACAGTCTACTTCTTGCTCCCAAGTGGGTCTCAAGTAGGAAAAACTCAAAGGAGGTGGGGTGGCCTAAAAGTTCTCGTGCAATTAAGATCCAAGATTTCAGTGCACTTAAGCCAATCAACTGATTTTCTAAAAAAAAAAAAAAAAAAAAGCTTCCAATATTTTTAACTTAAAATATTTACTACAGCCAGGCTTTGCTGGGTATGCTGATTTTAAGGCAAACGGTCATTTTCTACAAAAGCGTACTTACTTACATTATACAGGAGGTACTTTCAAAGGGAAAGAAATGTCATTGGCCTTTAAAATGGAATTAGAGTTGTTTCTTGGTATTGAGGGTTTGTGTCTATAATACAACCATCTATGTATTTGTGAAACATGCAGTTTACAAATTTAGATAAAAATGGGCATCTACCATCTAGAGGGGTAATCATTTTTTAGACTATATAAGTCATTATCCTTAGGTTTAAGCTCTGGGAGACTGATTTTAAAACCTAAATATAATCAAATAGTTATTATGAATTAGGAATAGCTCAGGAAAAGTACGCTTCTCGTCTTTTTTTACTTTCAAACTGAAATGCAGAAGGGGCACCTGGGTGGCTCAGTACGTTAAGCGACTGCCTTCGGCTCAGGGCGTGATCCCAGGGTCCTGGGATCGAGCCCCGCATCGGGCTCCCTGCTCGGCGGGAG